GGTTGAAGTTCAGTATCTAAGAGATTCAGAATTTCCTCTTTCCATGCCCACAGGCACAAAAATCAGTATCTCTCACTAATTGATTACTATTCCATGTTATGTCAGAAGCAAAAATTTATCCTGACCTGTTTGGGCCAAGTTTTCCAGGGAGAGGACAGGATTCAGCTCATCCAGCAAGACCCTTTTGTCCTCCTTTGTGTGGAGAAAAACACACATCTAGAACTCAATAACCCCCACCCTCATGACAAAAGTAATTTTAAAGTTCTCCAATGCCTTTTTGTCTCTTGATGCTTTTGACAATACATATTACTCAACTCCCATATCTTAAATGTCAATAATTCACAGCTGATAAATTTTTTGCAATGTACCCATTCAGTGCACAGCACAACTAGCATTCACAGACACTACAACACTTGAAATGAAATGCAAGCTGAAAGGAACCAAAGATAATGTAAAACAGGATTTCAAACCCTTCCCAAGGTATCGAGAATGATACTTCTGTATTATTACAGCATAACTGCCAAAAACCAGCCAGGTGTAATTTGAAGGTTTTAATGGATGGAGGACCTATACATGTGTCTCCCACTGCAAGGCTTTATATTAGCTTTGAATTATCTTCTCAGCCTTCCCAACTGGCTCTCCAATTTTCCAAGAACACCAGAAGGTGACATACACATCACAACATATTACCATGCTCAAATATCACTTTTGTAATGACACTGAGGTTATGTTAACCCTACTGCCACAGGATTACATAAAGAAGGGCACATATTTGGGGCATATTTTAGGAGGCCAAATGCACAAACAACTGAATTCCAAGAGGCACATGACCATGGTATCAGCAAACCTGAATTTTGATACGAAGGCCTTGCATATGACGTTTTTTGGCAGAATTCTTTTGAGTATTAGCTAATAGTAACATCTTTTCCACATTCTAGAATTCAGAAGGTCTTCTAAAAGACCTAAAAATAAATCTTCATTAAACAAATTGTTTTTTCCAGACAAATCTTGTAGGTTTTTTGATGCAAACTTTCTATACTGTGTAGTGCAGCACAACACTAACTCTAACAAATACTAACACCATTTTCAATTAAGACATCTTTGCTACTTTGAACACATCATTTCTATCCACCTGCAAGAAAGACACTGCTATCAAATAGTTTTGCACGATTTTCAGTTTTGTCATCTCTGCTAAACAAGAGCTAGATAATAACCAGATGCTGAAGATTCCTAGTTAAAGTAGAAACTTTAATAACTTTTAAGTAGTAGTTTTAACTATGCTTGTCCTTAGCATTACAGGTTTTTAGCTCATTTGTAAGAGTTCTAAGCTTACTGATACATGACTTATCACCCTAGTCTGCATCCCCATACACATCACTGGAGTAGCCCATGATACTGTAACTCACAAGATCAGAACAACTGAAGAACAGGATTTTATTCCTATTAAGAACAGGAGGAAAATCAAGCAACAAAGTCAAGAGTCAGATATAACACTTGTGTCTGGGAGAAGTTTTAATGTTGATTCACCTGGTGAGGTGTGGCTTTCCACACTACCTTTTGCTAAAGTTAAATAACAAATTCTTTGATTGCAATAGTATTTCAGTGCTTGTAACATTGACAGATCTACCATCTTCTATATTGCCAATATAAAATTCAGAAGATCATTTCTGAATACTTCTGCTTCAGGGAAAATATTTAACTCTGCTGTGTTTTTAGATCTATTCTTAAACAAACCTGGTATGTCTGTGCTTTTGGATCAAGAACTTCAAATTCAACCAGAGTTTCAAAAAATGTACATATTGCCTAAGAAAATGAAAACTCCAACCTCTGACAATATTAAAATGGAACTGAAAAATCAGATTAAGGACTAGAAAAAACCTTATTCAGCAACGTATTTCCTCATCAAATATGAAGCCAATACCATCTTATTTACCATATTTACAATAATTATGTATTTACAGATTTCATTAAATAATAAGAATGGACAAATGGGGGGAAATATCCGTAACTACAGAAATGTATTTATTCTGCTTAGTACGTGGAAGTAAAATATATATTATTTTGGCAACTTAAAATTAGTTCTTACATCCACAACACAGGCTCTACTTCACAGTACTGCACGGAGTAGAATCAAAAGGAAATTAAGTCATCAAAGCTGAAATAACACTGCTGTCAAATTCTGTTCAAAACGGGCAAGTTCTAAGTCTTCTAATAAAAAGCGAATTGACGGAGCCAGTAGTAAACTGATTAAGTCTTAATAGCTACAGCTTTCTAAGGTTCCATCTGTTCTGTACATGTGCCACCCTGGGCCTTTGCCAGATGCAAGACCTGGACTCCCTTCTGTATTGTTGGTAACAGGACACTCCTGCTGTGCTCTGTCAACAAATAAGTAGTGCCTGCTGGAACACAGAGGTGACATAGTTGGAAATGTAGGATACAATTAATACAGACAGTAAATAAAAACTGAGATTACTGGTCAAGAAGAATAGAAAATTTGGATAAAGGAAGAGGCCACGGGAATATAGCCAAAGCATTATATAATACCACAAGGAGAAACTCAAAATTACAACTTCTGCAATATCTGTTGGAGAAGTGAAAACAGAGTGAACACTGTAAGAAACAGTCTTACAAACAACTTGGAAAAAAAGCAAAAAATCCTTTCAGCATGGTGGCTCCTGACGAATCTGCAAAGACAACAGATTGGTTATATGAGGCATACTTAGAAGAGCCAGCCACTTTACAGAAATATTTTTGTTGATGTCCACCATGGAAAAGAATGGTAAGAGTGTCGTATCAGAGCATTCCCTCTGGAGAACCGTTTATTTACAGCAGGTACACTGCTAGAATATTAATAAAAAAAAAATTTTAAATGTTTTCTGCCAGAATGAGGCAGCTATTTACTCCTTGAGCTTTGAAGAAACTATTGATGTTACTGAAAAATGTAATCGCTGAACTACTCGAGATCAAATGGAACTTCTCATTTACAACTGCCCTAGTACCACAGGGTAACATAAACTTCATCCTCATGAAGATTCTTAAACACAGAACTGTAGAGGAGTAAACTCGATATTTATACTGGATAGTGTTGCTAGCAAGTCTAGAAAAATTAAGGAATAAGTAAGTAAATATGATACTGTGTGGAAGAGTCACTGGGGCATTTGTAGAAAAGTTACACCTCACAAATCTAATACAGCTTTTTTAAGTCATAAAAACATGTCCAGGACAGAAATTTGATTGATGGCATAGTGCATTTCAAAGGCACTCCCCAAAGCCTCCTAAACAAAGTAATCTCTTCTTATTATAAAAGAAAATGTCCTGTGAATAAATCACTGGTGAAAAGGCAGGAAATAATGGTGGGCCCCGATGGTCAGCTTTCACAGTGGACAGAACAACCAGAATAGTGAATAATGAACAGGAACCTGTGCTTTTCAATGTATTTGGGGAGGAGATGCCCACAGATGCTATTCAGAACAGAAAAGATACAGATCAACTAGAAAAACATGCAGGACTCCTTTATTGGGAGTGACTGGGAGGTGGAACAGGAGATTAAATGTAATGAGCGTAAGTATAGTGTACATAAGTGAAACAAAAGGTGAACACATTTCTAAATACACAGTCATTGACCTCTGAGCTTGTTATTCTCACTCACAGATAACTCCAAAATGTTAAGTTAGATTAGGCATACAGAACATAAACAGTAAATTCACTGCTCAGGAGACAAATAGGTATCAGGAATTGTAAGGAAAGAAACAGAGAACAAAACAAGCCCCACCACTAAACCACTCTATAAATGCATGTTGTACTGAATGTTCCATTGGTTCTGTTTTTGGGTAGCAAACAAAACAGAGTCAAACTGGAAAGTAGAGAATGTTATTGAGTAACTCCTGTATGAGGAACAACCAAATAAAATAGAACTCTTCAGCTTAGGGAATAGGCAACTGAGAGAAGCCATCCTCTCTCTGCAGCAATCAGGCACATAAAGAGGAAGTTCCTCATGTCTTCCACTGGGACACCTTCCTGAAATCACATGGAAACATGGAAAATGACAGATTAAGCTTTTACAAAAGGAGACCGATCTTGACATTCCAGACTTCTCTGTAGACTTCTCTGCTTAGGCTCTTCTCAACGTTAAAGGCATCCATGAGCATATGAAAGACAGTGAAATTTTAGAAGGAAAATGCATCCAGACCCACCAATCCAGCCATGCCACTTCTAGTTATGGATGGTTAGAAAACTACCAATGAGCACCACATGCTTGGTTTGTTTCCATGTTTTTCTCCCTATGCATGTGCTGTTGCCTCTGTTGGAGTCAACAGGCAGAGCTGGATGGCCTCAGTTTGTACAGCTGGCTTTGTACATGCTCTTAGGTAAGAGAAGTAGAAACAAGACTGGTTAAAGAGACTTGAGGCACTCAGGAAAGAGACAGAACATTTGCCACAGGTGGTATAGTATGAAGGAGGGGTGTACTGAGCATAATTGGCAATGTTTTGATGTCGAGGAAGGGACTGCAGGAATGAGTGTGGTCAGGGGATAGGAGAGCAATAAAAATGGAGAAAAGGCTTCACAGAGGCAAGGGCTGTTTACCCTAGGGGTTTGTATATTGGTTTCAATCCTAGAATCAGTAATTAGAAGTCAACTGACAAAACAAATTGGGAAAATGTGTCCTGATCTAGAAGTCTACCTCCAATTAATTGAATATTCTAAACCTGTCAGTAGTTTTCACTTGAATCTCCCAATTTCTCTCTCCTCACTAAATAGTAATTATGTGATGAACATCAAAACTATCACCTTCAAGACCTCTACAGACACACAAGATAATGTTGTCAGGATCTTTGTCTCAGTAGTGTTTGTTTTCATACTCTATTTTCAGTAATGTGTCAACTCCTGAACTTTAGGGTTTTTTTCACATAGGGTATAATCTACTGTTAAATACAAAGAAGAAAGTAGCACAAGTTTTAATCTGAGTAAAATGGCAAAAAGGAACAATGTTAAGATCTCACCTGGAGTAAGTATGAGCAAGAGGTATCTGCACTGGAACTCTCATTTTGTATCGTATTCTGTTGAGTAATAGCATCCTCTTTCTTCCGTTCCTTCTGCCCTGCTTCATCATCTTCATACTCATCAAGGCTCTAAAATGGAAAATATTTCGTTATCAGTTACAGTCTTTGTACGTTGTTTCACATGCTTCCCATATTTCACAAAATTCATGCATCGGTGAAATATTAATTTAATATTTCAGGAAGTTTGATTAAATGTTTAAGTGCTTTTCTTTCCAACTAACAGCTTTTTCTTCATCACAAAAGTAAGAAATAATCAAATTAAAATTCAATTTGACAAAGCTTTAGGCAATGCTGTGCGAGTTCAGTGCTAATCCTGCTGTGAGCAGGAGCTTGGACTATACCTGAAGTTCCTTCCTTTGGAATGATTCTACAACCTTGTTTGCCATATGCAATTGTATTACCTTTACAGATAAGAGATTTTCAGGAAATACAGAAAAGAAAAAAAAAAGTTAATTGTACTCTTCACTCAATAGCTGATCTTTTTTGACATAGTGGCACCTGCTGATGTTGAAGTCCCAGTCCCAATCACTCATTTTAATTATGGCTCCCTTGGTTTGCATTTTTTCTTTGAAAATTTACCATTGAAAATCAGTAATTTTTCAATTACTTGGACAGTCATTAATTACTCACAGTTTACACTTATATGAAACATTTTGACTCTTCAACACAAATGTTTCATACTAGATTTGCTGAAATACTTGCATTAGGAGGATTAAGCTTCTAAAGCACTGACTGCTGTCAGGCCAGAGACAGGAAAAGTAGGCAAGTAAATAAAAAAAGAAATGATTAGTTTTGCTGCCTCTAGCTCAAAGCCACGTTAAGGCCAAGGTAGAAATGTGAAATGTGAGCAGTCAACCAGCTTTGGGCTGAGTCAACTGTGTCTAGGTCAGTCTATTAATTCAATGTAGACATTGAACAGAGAGAAAGAAAACCCCACAATCTTATGGTTAGAAGACCAACTTAAAGCAGACAAAACTCAAAAAAAAACCAACAAAAAAACCAATCTGTTGATGACATCACAAGCTGTTTGCCAGCATTCCACATTAGAACAAGAGATGCGTGAAACCTTGTTACCGAAACACAGGGAAATAATCAGTTTAAGATATCAGAAAAAGCTTCTAGCTGAATGTCCAGTACCTTGAGAAACAGAGAACAGGACTAGCAGAGAAAAAAAGATGAATGTCAAACTATTTCAGTTGAAATTTCTAATGCAGATAAAACAAAGTCAATATTCTGAGGCTGAGATACTGACAATCTCTCACCATCTTACACAAAGGACACAAAACTAGTCAAAAGTTTATCATGAGAATGCTGGAAAATACAGTATCTTTAAAAACAAAACCAGTGTTATTTGCTAGCTGAAAATAGCACCAGTATATCAAAAACTAACTCCAGCTCCTCCAAAGCAAACACTATGGTGATACAAGTGCTAGAAAACTGGCAAACCAGAAAGGGATATTTTTCCACAAGTGAACCTGAATAAAAGCTATTTAAACTCTCCACAGCAACGCTCATTACAGCAACACTAACGCAATTTTACCAGTCTACTTCTAACCAACCTTTCAATGCAACTGATGCAGACCTGCTCCTATCACTAAAGAAGGTTACTATGGCTAAATCATTACATGTTCAAAAATACTTTCATTGAGTCTTCTGTAAAAAAATAATTACAAGTATTTAATGTAATTCTTTTGGGTCCATTTATAAAAAAAGCATTTAAAAAACACTGTAATGGCACATTCTAGGAAATGTTCTTTAAATCAACATCCTCTACCTTTTATAAACTGTAAAACTTAAACATTTTGATAACATAAACTTAGGTCCTAATTTATACCATTATCGTATTAATCCATTATGAAGTGACACAATAAGAAATAATAAGGCCCTAAGGCAACAAGAAATGATCTTTGCCTCGTTACGAAGCCAGCCTTCTTCAGAAAGAACTAGAAGGCACACAGAAGATATAATGTAAATTTTAACTAGTGTCATGCAGATGAAGAATGATACTGTGTTAGAAAAACAGAAACATTTTCAGATTGCTATTCCGGTCTCCAAGCTGTCACAACAGAGAATGGAAACAACTTTGCATTTCCAAGGAAAAACCTTCCTAAAGGAGAAAAATGAAACTCAAATATAAATATTGTAGGAAAAAAAGTCTTAGTAGTGACTAAGTAGATAAGTGTACCCTTCTCTACAAATTCTCTCCTTCTGATACATGCTTCTCGTAAGCTTTCCAAAGACAATGAGAGTTACATAGAAATATTTTTCTCTGAATACAATTACATCTGTAATGAAGAACGTTCTCTCTTTTAACAGAAAACCACCTGCTACTAAGTATTCTTTTAGCAATTTTGAACAGGAACAAAATCTGGTATGAAAGTTCTAGCCACATAACTTTAAATATTTTCAGTTAGGATTTGCCTGTGATGTCCATTCCTAAACTTTCTTCTCAGGAAGGTCCAAGATCACCAAAGTCTGCAAATCAGTACCATCGAAACAACCCCAAATAATCCATACTTCCCCTAGGCTAAAGGCCTTCTTCCCAAGCATAGGACAGCTGGTTAAACAGCTCATGTAAATCTAATTCAGAGTGCATAGGCTCTGTTTTAAAGGCTCTGGGGGCTTGCTCCCCACTCCAGCTCACTGCAGCAGGTGTCACAGCACAAGTTTGAGCAGCGCCAGGTTTTTATTACTTGTAAGAGTAATAAAAGAGGAGGCAGAGTCACGAGCACAGGTCGACAGTCACCGTCCACAGCTGACATGGCACATCTGGCCAGGGCTGCCAATGCCTTCCTGCCCTAAAGCAGATTCCTAGTCACTGTCAGAGGCTGTGGTTTCCCAAACACGAAGAATACATTCCCCTTCCAAACAGGCAGAAACACAAATTTACACAATGTTTACAAAATGCAGGCTGAGCAAAAACCAACAGGGTAACAACTACATAATTTAAACCTTTTACTGCCTTTTAGCAAGTTATTAAGTTTTGCTTTGATAACCATTAGCCTTAAAAAGGAAATCCACTTGTTTTGACTCATGACAAAATAAGCTTCTTTATTGAAAATATCCTGCCTATGCACTCATCTTCAGTTATTCATTGCTAGCATTATGTTTTTAGCTAACTTTTAGAGTAATAAAAATCAATAAAACCACATTTTGGTTTGTGGGTGAGGGTTGATACATTATTACTGAAAAAATTAAAAATGTTTATTTAAAGTTTTGTTCGACACTTTAAAAACTGTGTTTTTCCAAACTACCCTGCAGCTGAAAATGCCTCAGCCCACAAGACATTTCAATCAGCTGGATTACTGTGTTGCTCACATTGCAGACTCTCTCAAATACTGCACTTTGCTGTAAAAACTAGTTTCACATCATTGAAAAAGACATTAAGTACAGCAATTACTTTCTCTGTCAGCACAGCAGAGAAATGGACTTGTAACCACCGAGGTGTAATTCTGACCCATTATATAATTCTCTCCATCCATTCCCTTTCCTCTGCTTTTTTATTTTGCCACCAGGCACATACCATTTCAGATTCTTATTTTCCATTAAAGTCATCCGAGTTTTGTGTAGCAGATATTCAATGTGACATTCCCACATCTGATCTTAATATAAGGAATCCACAGAAATTCTTTAGGTTTTCTAGGATTTCAGTAAATGTTTGAAGCTGTAGTATAAACATTTTTCTGTAAACCTCTAGTATGGAAAATACAAGCAGAATAAGATGATTTCAAAAGACCCAGACTGAGGAAAGAAACTTCCACAAAGTTATCCCCACATTCCAGCACACCACCCCTCCAGTAAGGAGACATTGTACAAAGAACATTTCTAATGATTCACTGGTTTGCTTCCTATAAATATTTGTGCATTGCTAAGAACAAGCAAGAGCTGGGGAAGGGCTGTCTCTTCCCAGGAACGAAGCAATATTCCTATCCTGTGCAGATCAGTTTATGAGCACGCACAAGCTGCTCTCGCCACAAGAAACCATGCTGAGTCAAAATGTCCCCATTCCCACCCCCCTTCCTGCACCAACCTGCTTCTGCCTTGGAGTTCCGCTGGCCAAGCACATAACTGAGGGCTTCCCAGTTCATTTCATGAAAGGTCAGTCAGGTTAGTTTCAGCAGTTTTAATTAGCTCAATTGATTTTGCCTGGACCAGATACAAGCCCATTCAAACTATTTATTTCGCAGAACTCCAGGAATGGCAGTGCTACATCAGCTTTTTGAAAATGATGAGCACTTGAGATAATAACATATTGAACCAGTACAGCAAGATGTGCAAGCAGATACTGTACTCTCAGTAAAACCCTGTGTTCAGCTCCATATTGGGCAATAAACAGAAACTCTACATCACAAGCACCATCGGTTATCTCAGTGGACTTTCTTACTTTCTTGGCTTAACCATGTAGGAGAGGAAACAAATCTAGGCATCTTCCAATTTCCTAAAATAACTATGAACAATTTAAAAAAGCAATTTTAAAAATCTTTAATTTAAAATTTAAAAAAAAAAAAAAAACTTTACCACAAGAGTATTTCCCATGCTGAGAAAAAGTTCGAGGTGCACTATCACAACTTCATCTCAAGACACTGTAAAATTGCTAAGGTTTTTATTAAATGTATATATTTTCTAAAAGCTTCCACAGTAGAAATACAAGACAAGATATAAGAATTGCTTTTTACTCTGAAAAAAAACTTATTCAGGCAATTAACTACTGCAACATCCAATTTGGGATTCAACATTATCTTTCCCTTGGCTGACCATTCAGAAAAACCTGGAAAATTAGCTGCAAATAAAAGACACCTATTTTACACATGATTCTATATAATCACTCTTCTTACTGCACCACTGAGAACCAGATGCTTCCTTGCTTTACCATGCACAACTTCGATATCAGCTACCATCTTCCCACCTCTTTGCGTAGTATCAAATCCTTCTGTCAGTGCCTCCCATCAAAACCAAGCAAAAATCCCAAACCTCTATGATTTAAGATTAAAGAACTTCTCCCCTCTCAAACACTAATTTTAACCATGTTTGTAACACACTTTTATTACACTGTCTAGACAGCACCCGAA